CCTTACCCCCCCCCCCCGGACCACGAATCACGGAACCCTATAATAAATGAATTTTTCAAAAAAAAACTATTATGGTATAAATTTATAGTTTATGCCATTGTGTATCAAAGTTTGACATGCTAAAACAAAATGGAAAGTTAATATGGAATGGAGGGAGTACATAGCCATCAATTTAAAAATATTAAAACTTAGCAATTCAAGTTCTTGAATCAAACCTTGATGAAACTGTCCGTGGAATCAGCATCCACACCTGAGCTCCTACAATGATTACAAAGTTATAATATGAAAATTGTAATGATCCATTAGTGTATTCAAATGCTGGTGCTGCTGAAACATTAATTTGATTATAAAAATACTACTCCGTAGTATGTAGAGTATAATGAGTACAAGAAAGGAATTTGAACAAAAGACAAACCATTAACAACATTTTTCAATATTATTACAGCTATAGTTCTATAAATATAAATAAGTGCAAACTGCAAACTTGACATTGCTTTAAAAAACAACAATGAGATTACCACTTGGAGGATAGCTTTTCGTATGCTTTAGTTACTTCTTCAATCGAGCTATACCGTTTGATCCCCAAAACTACAACAAAAGCATCACAAAACGTAAATTAAAGAAAAGAAAGAGATTAGCAAAGTCAATTAATAGGCAAACGCCGTGACCGAGTGGCGGAGCTTGGTTTACCGTCGTAATGGGAAGAAGGGAAAAAGTGGGGAACAACGAGGAGCTGAAAACAGAGCGAAGCTGCGAAGAGCGTTATAGGGAGCCAGTAGATTCTCAAAGTCTCTACGCCAGAATACGTCGGCGGCGACTTCGCTGGTTGAACCCTAGAACGTGGTTCCGGTTCCGGTGGCATTGCGGGGTTTTTGCCAGGTAACTCTGACATGTAGGAAGTGACGTGATGAACATCGTACTGCTAGGTATATATACAGGCGGCAAATTAGTGGGTTACTTTTTTAATTAATGTTATCTTATAATTTTTATATTAAAAAATTATAGAAATTATATTTTAATAATCTATATGTTAAGACAAATCAAACAAGATCACACATGACTATATTTAGGCTTACACATTGAGAGAATTTGATGAGTCAAAGTGCTTAGATGATCAGTTCTAAAAGTCAAAAGTGGACAAAAACTGGGAGACGGATGGAGTATGCATTAACATTTTTTGTCAATGTAAATCATTACACTAGCATTATACTAGCACAAAATGTAAGTGCATATTTTTGAGGTACAAGTTTTGGTGTATAAATAGCTTAATCTTTAACCTCTTATGAATTTTATTTTTAAAATTTTTAAGGTTGTAGGGTATTCATAACTTCTATACAATTTATAATGCATCTTTCATTCATCACCATCACAAACACGTCAAATTCTTTTAGGTTCACACTTTTCATACTACAAGTGGCGGTGTACATACGATAATTCACCAACTTGAAATTGAGATGAAGATGAGCAGTGTTCGAAAAAGGAGCAACACCGATTAAGCAAAAATATGAATGAAATTCAAAAAAAAACCACCGATGCAAATGCAGGCACAAACTTGACGAACAAGGAAAACGATTTAGAACAATTCCAAAAATAAATCAAGAAAAAATTTACGCTTGGCTATGGATATGAACACTACCACGAGAAGTAAATAATGAGGGCGGGGTGATCTGATTTCGGCAACGATGAACTGGACATCCAAAGCAAGTAAACATTAAGGGTAATACAAACATTTCAAGTTCTTTTTGTTACCTTAAAAAGGAAGTGTAAACACTGGGGGGGTGAAGGGACTATGTTTTACTAAGGGGGTAAGCTTCAAAGGAATAGACACTAGCATTGATACATTTGAGTGCATTGATGGATTGCTAAATAATTGGAACCATTTGTTCAAAGCATTGACATTCATTATTAATTATTTTTCCATGTTTCCATGTTTTTGTCTCCATGTTTTTCCCTCGTTGTATCCCAAAAGTTCTATCTTGATGGATGGCACACACACAAAATGGCATTAGAAAGTGCCACTACACCTAAGGTAGAGCAAAAGATATTCCCATAGTGATGACTTTCATCACACTCCTTAGCACTATCAATCAAAAATGTTTCATCTAGGAATTCAGAATCTAAAAATGTAGGGCCAAAATTCAGTGCTCACTTCCTATCCAAAAGATTGGCGAGTCTGGTCTTGTCTTGACGATCCATCCATTCAGACATTTATTTCCACATTGTCAATCAGTCTGACACTTCCAAACCAAGCTGCTACGCAGAATGCCACAGGCATCTCAATCACTTTGGCTGGCTCTAGACTTTCTTGGTCTACAATCTAACATTACAAAGAAAGTTTTGTGGATCTGGCATTAGTTCATAAGATTTGTTCAATTTAAACACAGTGAAAATCAGAGAGAGGAGTGTTGGGATGCTTGATCGGTTTGAGATCTCACCTCGGCATAATCTATTCTTCCACCGGCCTCCTCTATCGTTTTGATAACTACATCTCTCAGGTCCTTACAATTGACCAGCCCCCCTTTCTCCGCTGCTACTTTGGCTTTTGAAAGTGCCCGACTTATTGACAAAGCCTGCAAATTCCAAAAAGAAGAAAAAAAGGGCATTTTGAAGAGAGTAAAAAAGGGAGAAACACCTAATTAGGACTAACACATGCTCCATATACCAAAAAAGACCTTCAATGTTTTTTATACCAAAATATGACTTGTAATGCCAAACGATGTCAACACATAATATCAAAAAACGCTTTGAAATTCCAACACACAATGTCATATCACGGTGGTTAAGGACGTGCCAACGCTCTTGTTTAGGGGATAAGATAAGAGGTTTTATTTTGGTATAAGATTCATGTTTTCTGAAACCCCGCAGAGAAGTTAGTAGGTAATTTTGGAGTAGGAAACAAGAATGTGGGACTTGGCTATGGCCAAACACTGCAAGATTTATACCATCCTTTCCTTCGGGAAGGTAAAGTTAATTTACAAATAGAGTCTGTGTTAACCAACATTTAAGGATTGCCATTTGTTGCTTTCAGGAAAACATAACATACTGATTATAAGTAGTAATGAAAGAACCTGTTTTCTCTCATCTGGTGAGAGCCGCACATTACGAGAACTCATCGCAATGCCATCATCTTCACGCACTACCTCAGCACCAATTACCTTAATTCCAAAATCAAGATCTCGCACCTGAAGATGTAAATTAATGCGTCAAAAGAAGAAATCTGTTTTTTTGTAAGTAGAAACACTTTCTCAATTTACAGAATCTAAATGTACAAAAACGTAATGAGTGAACTACGAACTAAATGCAGCTGTGCAACTCTTGGAAGACGATGTAACACCATCTTCTCTACATCGCCCATAGATTTATACATGATCATTGGCATCACTAAGAAGCTAGTTTTCTTTGTCTTTTTTTTAGAAAAAGAACAAACATAATCCAGAGAACCATAAAACAAACATCATAGTCAGTCTCTAGATCAAAACCAAATTCAAACAATGATTCAAAAAAGGTGGAGGGCAGCAATCCATCCGGTTTTCCGCGTCAAAATAAACAAACCACAAAACTTCATAGAAGAAGCTCACCATTTTCTGAATAATCCTCCATTGTTGATAATCCTTCTTGCCAAAGACAGCAAAATCAGGCTCAACTATGTTGAACAGTTTGGTGACAACAGTGGCAACCCCTCTGAAAAAGATGGGTCGACTCTTCCCGCACAACCCCTTCCCCAATCTTTCAACTGCAACCCATGTCTGATGCCCTCCTCCCCCATTTTCTTCGACACAAGAAATGGCATTTCCTTCTGTTCTATGCTCCATTTCTGGTCGGCTCCTTCCGCACCCATCTCCATAATCGTACAGGTTACGGGGGCTGAACACAGCATCAATACCACATGGGAGGGATTTCAGCTTCTCAATATCTCCAAGAAAATCAGAAGGGTAGGTTGATAGGTCCTCGTTAGGAGAAAATTGACCTGGGTTCACATAGATTGAGACGACTATGACTTGTGCGTGTTTTTGCGCTTCTCTGATGAGGGAAAGATGGCCTTCGTGGAGATAACCCATGGTGGGTACAAAACCTATGGTCTTGCCTTGGGCTCTCGCAAACCTCGACCATTTTCTCATTTCCTCTTTCTCTGTGATGATGATTGGCTCTTTTGCTTCCATTTGCTGAGAGAGAACTGAGAGGGGGGAGGGGGGGTTAGAACCTCAAGGAGGAATCAGACGGCATAAGGATTGCAATGGAGATGCAAGATTGACGGTTGCAATGAAAATGACAATTTTGAAATTGAAACAGAAAGGTTATAGTCCTTATACAGCATAGAGTGAAGAGATTTTTTAATCTATGGCCTATGGGTATTCAATAAATATTTTAAAAAGTCATTTAAAATTCATGTGCATTCAATTAGGATTTTAAATATCTACCTGAATCCAATGATATAGATAATTTTAAAGATTTTAAGAGTTTATTAAGTGATGGATTATGATATAAGTAAAAATCCATGAAGAAATCCGTCCCCGAGAATTCGGAGACCCTGCTCGAAATTAAATTTTTGGCCTTATTATAAAAATAGCAAAGTAGAAGATATACACAATCAACATCAATATTTTCAACAGTATTATCGAAGTTCTCAATTTTAATAGCTTAATCAACATTAACATCAATTGCAACATCAATATTATCAAAACTCTTGATTTCAATAGCTTCACGAGTTTGATTCCCATTTCTTGAAGAAAGTAAATCTTTTATAACAAAGTTAACAAGAGCCCCTTTTTGAAATTTGACTAAACTTTATAATTCTATTAATCATTTTAAACCAAAGAGACAAAGAACAAAGTAATAAACTTAAAATGATTGAAAGAACCTGGAATTTAGATATGTGAAAGATCTTCCAAGTCAATTTAAATTCGGAAATATTCCTGCAAATTGAATCCAAAAATTAAAAAAAATTAATAAAACTAATCATTAAACAAATTATTGAATAATCCATAAACTGAATTTGGACGAATTACAAAATTTCTAAGTTAGAAAATATAAATAAAAAATTACCTTCTACATTTAAGGGGGGACAAAGAAGACCGAAAAAGTGACGAGTGAAGATGGAAGCACTCAAGCTCTAGAACACGGGACGCCGGAGTGACAGATTTGAGAAAACAGAATTGCTAGGAGGAAGAACAGATTTTGAAAAATTACACGGAATAACGAATTTTAGGTCACTTGGGAACTTATTTGAATTTGGAAACTTAAAAAGATTAAATTTGGATTTGATTGGCATTTAGAAATCATCCTAAATAGGACTAAATCATAGAAAAAGTACCAAAATAGGATTTTGATGTTTTTTTTCCGGAATAGGACTTTGCACTGTGGTAATGTGACTTTGCATTGTGGCAATGTGGCAGTGTACATATGCAAATTACTATACTTCTTTGGTAATATATATGACCATGTATGGTAATGTAAATCCTATTTTGGAATAAAAATATGGAAGTCCTATTTTGGTATATTTTCAATGTTTTAGTCCAGCTTTAATCTTTTTCCCATGGGCATTCCTCTCATTCGAAACAAAATTCCAAACACCACCTCAAATACTTCACCCCAACTTACGTTACAACCATCTTTCAAAACTAAAGTAATTACTTCATCCTTCCCCCAAAGATTTTCACATTGCGGGTTAGAAAGTTTGATCGATTTTATTTTCAATTCAATTAATTTGATTATAAATATTAAATTAAAAAATAAAAATTATATAGTAAAAAAACATGAAAAATTCTACAAAACTACAAGTGACAAGACTATTATTTTATGAAATGAGTAGTAAAAATAACCAAACAAGGTGAGTTAAGTTTGACCTCGTAAATATTGTCTAGGAAGATCTATGGTGAACAGAGTGAGCACATTCATGTCTAATTAGCCAACTTTTCATTTTGGGTTTTAGACTTTTAGTTAAACTGCCCACGATGCTAACAGCTGTCTGGTGTGTGCGTGTGTATTAAGCCTAGGTCGATAGGGCACCTTGGCTCACCCTTAGGCCGGCCAATTAGTCTTGTAAAATGAAAGTAATTTAAGTATAGACTTATTAAAAATATGTGAGAAAATCTAAATATCACGTGTAGATCATATGACCACAATATGACAACTCAAACGCATACCTTATACTAACTCAAAAATTGTGATTATTTGAGATAAATTCTTATTTTTCTTAATTTTCAAAATTGAAATTAACACACTATAAAGGTACACTTTTGTCGGGAATTTCTACCATCGCAACATAGATTTGCAACTTGCAACATGATTAGGGTCGTAAAACGAATGAATCGAATATTATAAAATTTTATTTGTATTTGAAAAATGATACTATAATTCATGTTCTTTTTTTTTGAATAATTATTGTTATGCGTATTTGATTCGATATTAAATTCAAATATTCGATTCGTATTTGTATTCTTTTATAAAATATAATTTTTGAGTTTTTTTACGTTTTTGATACAGCACAAGGGAGAGCCACATCCTAAAAGCTAGTTGTTAAGGTGGGAGAACCCTTTATAAACACATCACCAAGTCCCCCATTAAACTTCTTTTTATGAAAAGTAAAAAGAAATAATGAGGTGTACTGCTCTAGTTGTGAATTAGTGATTAGGTTTCATGGAGTATGAATATATGGTATCGAGACTTCTTATCAATTACTCCACATTTCAATTTATATTTACGCATTCATTTCAAATTATTTAAGTACTTTTTCCATATGCCCCCCTAAAAGCTAAATATGTACGATCAAGTATTACCTCTGTCATCGAGTATTTATCCAGTTTTGACTTTTTGCAATCAACCATTTTCAACCTTTGACCTATAATTAAATATAATATATTGTATATTAATTATATAAAACAACATTTTGAAAATATTTTATAAAATAAATCTAATAAAATCATTTTTTATATCAATATCTAATATTACTTTTGCTTAATTTGTGGTCAAAGTTTACCAATTTTGACTGAAAAAAGTCAAAAGTGGACAAATACTCGGGACGGATGGAGTATAAACTACGGAGTACTACACTCAAAGATAAACAAATTACGGAGTATTCTATATATTATGCTCTATACTCCGTATTTACTATGAAGCAATATATTGATATAAACTTTTATATTTATATTTGAATAAATTTGTTAATATATTGAATCGAATGCATATACATTTGTATTCATTTTCTTTCAATTTTTAAATAATATTTATATTCTTATTTGTGTTCATTTTTTCGAATACGAATAATTGATTTTGAATACAAATCACGAATCGAATCAAAATTGTTCGTTCGTCTTACAACCCTAAACAGATAATCCATATTTGTTTTTTTGTACCAATTCTACCATCTTTATAGGCAAAATTCACAAGAGTATTTTCAGAAATTACAGATTTTACATAAATACTCCAAAATTTATTTATTTGGAGTGTTACTCCTACATTTGTCTCATATTTATACCGTTACTCCGTCATTGCCTAGTCATCATCAGAGTGTGTCTTTTTAAACAGGGTTCTTCATCTTTTTGACTGAAATTGAATTAAATCAATATGAACAAGCTTAATACATGTCAACATTTTAACTTGTCAATCATTAGTAAAAGACACCCAAATAACATTTATGATGACTACACAATCAAGGAGTAACGACGTAAATAAGAGAAAAATGTGAGAGTAACAGCGTAAATAAATAATTGAAGGTAATTATGTAAAATGTGTAATTTCTGAGAGTATTCTTGTGAATTATGCCATTTTTATAATGTCGTTTGAGCGAAAAAAATATTATAGACGCTCTAAGGGCTACATATAATAATGCTCACTGCATTATACTCCTTTAGTAAACTACACCTTCCTACCAACACACTTATACAACAAAAAAATAGCCAATGAAGATGGTACTTGCTAGTTTCTTCAACAGGAAATAGCTTATACGGAGTATTCTTTAACTTATCAAATTGGTTCTGATTTGATTCAATTAAATTTTGATCTAATATGATCCAATAAGAATAAGTAATAATAAGTAAAAAGAATAAGTTGAAGAGAACAAGCTCTATGTCGTTAAAATGATGATGTTCTACTTGGTACAAGTTACAACCTAACTACTCCATTAGATAACTAAGAGGATGAAACATTGTCCAAACTCCAAAGCCGACGTTCTAGTCACCTTAGCTAATCAGCCGCCCTCGTGCCTTTGTTTTGATGCAGAACCAACTTCTTTGCGACTAAGCGGATACCAGCGTTTTGCAGATAGTCATATGAATCCAATGAGAAGTAGACATCCACAAAAGATCCCGGAGTCACCAAGGCATCCAGCTCTGCATTGTCGAATCTACTACATGCCACCTTCTGTGCAGCACAAGTTTCCTCGCGATATATCTCTGTTGCCCAGCAGATAATATCTCCATTTACTATGGCGGATAACCTGCAAATTGTGCATTTTGGAGAAAATCTAGCCATCAGAAAAACTAGCGCAATGCTGGGCAGTAATCTGATCTGTGTATATGGCAGTTAAAAAAAACTGATTTATGGTCAGTCTGGTTGGAGTGAAAAAGGAGGGAAAAAAATTTTGGGGGGGGGGGGGAGGGAAGAAAAGGGATGCTTTCTCTTGTTTGGTTGAAGAGAGAAAATGGAGAGAAAAAAGGAAAAGACTATTGTGCCCTTTATAATAATGCATGCTTATATCTTACTCTGTATTATTTTCAATAAGGCATAAAAGTAATTTTACAATATTACCTTTTCTTTCCCATTTTTCTACTTACCAAACAAGGGAAAGAAAGTTTAACATTTTCTTTCTCTTCATTTTCTATTCATCCAAAAAACAAATTTTCTTTCATAGTTTTCTTTTCACTTTCTTTCCTCTCATTTTCTATATGATCCAAACAATGGCTTACTGATCTAGCATTGCGTAAATTCTGAATGTTGTTTTATCGTATGCCGGCTATGTATGTCCACATTTTCCTTGTTTGTTAAGGAAGAGTGCAAATTTTCCGTAAAAAGAAACAAACAACTCTCAGGGTCCGTTTGGTATACAGAATTGACGGAATTGGAATTGAAATTCCATTGGATTCAATTCCATAGAATTGAATTCTACCAATTCCAATTCATTTTTTACACTATCAATTCCAAATCCACATAATTTTTGTACTACCAAACACCAGAATTTGAATTGAAGTCCTCAATTCCAATTCCATAATTTGAATTCCATGTACCAAACGGGGCCTCAAAGAGTTGAACCAGCAAAACAAGAATTCTGGGACATGTTTACACAATGATGACAAATCAGCCAGCTGAGGCTAGAATTCCATAGTATAAAAATAGAGAGAGAGCAAAAGATCATGCTTAACTTCTTGCAAGAAAAGGGAGGAAAACTTACTGAAACCGAACAGTAGGGAATTTTTCATAGCCGGGCTTTCTGGAAACTATTGGCCTCCATTCAGAGCTACTACCTGAATCAACAGATAGCCTCCAGGCAAGATTATTGATTTCATCAAGGATCAAGCATAGGTCACGTGTTGCATTCACCACAAAATTCAACTGTGGCCGACCAGCATAATCAAGAAATTTTGTACTAATCCCAAAACGAACCTTCTGTTTTTTGCAACAAATTTGCAGCTCATCTTTTTCGTGGAAGACTTTTATCTTTTGTGTTCCACGATAAAACGGGACGAGCATTGAAGAGAGATGAGGTATGGAAATTTCATTTAGTTCTAAGAACTTGGAGCGACTCCCAGGCAGGCCACTTTTATTTGCTGTGGAACACTCATCAGAAGGGCAATATTCATCATCATGATTATTATCCATGTCACCTTCAGAATGGAGAGATTCTCTTTCAATTTCATCAAGAAGTTGGCCCATGTTAAAAGGGTCTGGCATGGCAGAACTGGATTCAATGACTTCATGAGCCTCTACCTTTCCCCTTTCATCTCTGCATGGTAGAGCATCATGATTTTCATCTGCCCTATTTTTCACAGAATGTATTGAATTTTCTTTCAGGTCTGTTGAGGGGGAAGATTTACTACGGCTTCTTGTGGCAACATTTGGAGAAATCCAACTATTCTCTGTGAAAATGTCAGGGAGGCTGGATTCCTGAAAGAAAACAATGTTCAGCCATTAAAAGAATGAATGAATGAAGCTTATTAAAAAAAATAAGCAGAGAGAGAATAAGGATGCTGGGAAGTGACGGAAGTCACAACTTAAACCTGTACTCATCAAGATCATTTTTCATAGAACTTATATGAATGAATGTTCTGGCCTTACCAAAAATAATACGGTCGAGCAGTACTTGAGCACTTCAAGATTCATTCGAACATCATCTAAACTCCTGAAGTAAAACAACAGAAAAATCCAGGATGGTCAAACCTTACACTATGTTTTATTCAAGGAATTTGAAAGGGAAGAGAAAATAAAATGAGATGGAAAACAATATTTCTTGTTTGGTTAGATAGGAAAAGAAAAGAAAAGTGGATGGAAAGCAAAATTTCTCCCATTTTTGTGAGAATAATGAGAGAAAACCATTTTTTCCTTCCGAATTCCTTGAACCAAACATAATGTTAAAGCCCAAAAAGGAGTATAAAATGCAACTTTACACAGACCATTTACTGAAACACTCCCCCTCCGTCTCAAAATGATCTTTCCGTTTTTGGATATTCCAAAATAGTCTCTCCCCTCTGCACAAACTTTTTAGGATATAAATATATGGTTCATAACTTCATATTCTCTCTTTCCTTTGCACAAACTTTAATAACAGAATTACTTCCTTAAACTCCATGTCATTTTCACATGGAAAGTTAGTGTTGGGACAAAAGGAGTAATAAAATGTGGTCGCGCTACCCTAATTTTGATAAAACTCATTTCATTTTATTGAACATATAATTGGAAGTGTAATTTTTATCCTCAATGTCGTGTGCTCTTAACAAATCTTTTTTAAGAGTAGTCTTAACAAATCTTGACTAGCAAAGAGGACTCTACACTCTATATAAACCAAATTAGAAACAATAGAAGTATAAACAAGGAAATTTGGACTAATTATGCTTCCATCTAACAGCGAGGACTGAGGAAATCTCAAATAATGGACCCTGTTAGTTTATACCACGATAACGAAGTATGAATTGATGGTCCTGATTGTTTTTAAGTCTCATATTGCCTTGTCTATCACGTATAAGTAAAGCATGCATACTAGTAAAGTTCTGTTGAATCTAGATTTCTAAAAATCAATCATAGACTGCTAGACATCTTAATCCCAACTCCATAAACTAAAAGGAAATAAAGACAAACGAAGATAAACAAGCTACACACGTGAGGTAAATGTAATGGACCCAAACACCTAGTCTAGGGGTGTTACCGAACCAATTATCGAACTGTTTGGAGCATCAACATATCTCCCTCCTCACCTAGGATCGAATTCTACCCCTAAAAGAATCCCCTGACTCGATCTTCAAAAATAACAAGGCAAATGAAAATGGACTGAGTCTAGTTTACCAAACCAATCAATCATCAAACTGCTTGAGATCAAGCTTGATTTAACGAATTACAAAATCATAAACAAGACGGATTCAATGTTTGAATATTTAGTTATTTATTCAAGCTGAGCTCAAGCATATTAGTGCATAAATTTTCAAGCCTACAGAACATCTAGAAATGATAGGGGTAGATTAGAAATGAGAAAATTTGGAAAACACTTTAAACATAAAAATCTGATTATCAACAAAACCACCACTTATCAAAGAATTCGGACATGACCCAATTATCAAACACATATTTGTAGAATGCATTGAGCAGTTGAATCAAACATTGAACATGTGTCTAGCCTAACCAAAGCGTCACCATAACTGAATTGAGGACTCAAGTACTGCTGGACCATCAAACTCAAACCCAAACATCACCATAACGGCATAAATGAATTGAGCCAAACTCGAACCCAGTGTGCTTAGTATTGGCTCGGCTCATTAACACCCCTACCTTAGACGGTGATGATACATAAAATTGTTGAGTTATTTAATGAATAATGCTGACATGCATCTTAATGTTATGAACAAGGCTCTTCACCTATGTGTTTGTCGTCCAAGACCAAAATAAGTAGCAAGTGATGCCATCTGCAAGCAAAAATGATTGTAAATCAGCACTTAAACATGAAACAAAGATTTTAGGCTTCAAACAAATGGGGTGTGGTCCGGTGGTGTGACTGGTGCCCCCCTTCTTTCATTCCCCATTTCTAACCCCATATGCACAAGACACCTTGTGCACTACAAATTGAAGCAGGAAACCACATCAACTAGTACTTATAGTCTAAGTACTAGAATATTATTAATAGTTAAGGCAAGCAAATTTTACGTGTTATAAGTAATAAAAGCAAAGACATTGAGTGCAATTGTATAACATCAGAAACTCTTTTCTTCTCAGCGAAATTACACAGCTTTTTCGGTGGTTAATCTGATGAATGACGTGCCACGCACATCATCACAGCTCCGTGCACCGCCATAGTTGACCTCACTTGTTGCTGCTGACCAGCACTATCATGTTGTATGTGTCACATGCAGAAGTTGAGAGTGAGCAGCAGATATGAAGATGCCCAAGTGGATGAATGGACATACTAAAAAGGACATTGTTAGAAATGAGGATACACAGAACAAGGCGGATAACTCTATGGGGATAAGTTAGTGTGGATCGAGGTTAAGGTGGCCAGACACATGTACATAAGGAGAATTGGTGCTCGTGTGAGGAAATGTGAGAGGTTTGTGGCGAAGAGTTTGAGAGGAGGTAGGGATAGCCTGAAGAAGATGGGGTGGGTAGATTAGACATGACATGTTGCTTTTTCAGCTCACGGAGGACACGAGCCACAATAAGGGAGTTCGGAAGACGAAGAGTAAAGCTTTAGAGTAAGTTGTTGTGGACTTGTAAAGGAGGTATTTGGCTGTAGAGAAGTGCCTTTGTAGGGATTGTATTTTAGTGTCTTCTTATTTACTCATTATTTCATTATTAGCAGTAAGTTTTACACTTAAAGTTCATCTTTTAATACATCAATGTTATAACATTTTTTTTTATTTTCTTGAGCCAATAGCCTTTCGAAAACAACCTCTCTGCCGGTTGGGGACTTGGGGTGAGGATTAAATGCATGGACTTAGACTCCTCGCAGACAACCTTAATGGGTTGGTGTAGTTATCATTGTACTATCCACTAAACTTGTAAGAAAAATATAAAGCCGGACCCAATTACATTATATCAAATAGCCATAAAATGCCGAATGTTGTGGCAAGATTAGTATACCTTCATGTCCCCGGCTCTTCTTCCAAACCTTTGAGTCAACAGGGAAAGTGAGTCTATTGTTCCCTTAGGTTCTGGAGCAGGCCTATCTATCCTGGCAAAAGCCTCACAAATCCGTGGACAGTCAAACCTTATTATGTTGTGGCCTGCCCATATTCTCCCTGCGTAAAGAACAGACTTAGTTAATATCCTAATGAAAACCAAGTTTTGCAGAGCATGTAGAGATATAGGATCCATTTGGGAACAAAGTTTAAAATTAGAGTTAGATTGTGAATACTTTCAATGGTGCAGATGCCAAAGGCTACTGTCACATAGTATTTCCAAAAACTATGATTTCGTAAGGACCCACTACAGCACCTTACCTCAGCATGTCAGATTACCCTACAAGATCCCAATGATCCAATTCGTTACCCTCTTGCAAAAAAATCAGAAACCCCGTGTTTATTTATCTGTAAAGTGACCTACAATTACAAAAAAACACATGCCCAAGGGCTATAGCTTCATGGGTGAGAACAGCTTCTCCAGGGAACCCAGCACTCCCAGCATAGCTTTCGCTATCAAGCATTCTAGCACAAATCTTCCAATCAAATAGTTGATCAATTATTCAAAAGGTCCGAAAATGCAAACATCCAAAACACACCAAAAAATCACTCTTGGGTGACGCTGGTTTTTCTTGTAAGAAAAATCACGTCCCTATATTTTTCTAAAACCACCGGGGGCATTCAAAATCATAAGGGCTGCATCGGGACATTCTGACCAAACTCCTGTAAATTCAGCCGCAGTAAATTAAGGGCATTCTCTAGTTACTACTTTGCAGCTCCAATTTTTCCTTCAAGAAAGAAAACATAAGAGATGAAAATGAAAGGGAAAAGATAAGGCAGCTACTGATTGTTATAATAACCAAGTGGGTGCAAAACCATTCTGCAACACAAGGAATAGAAATAAAAACTGACACTTAAAATAAGCAAGGCAAAAAGCTTCAATCTTTATTCTTTCTTTTTCTTTTCAGTCTTTAATTTTAAAAAGAAGAAGAAGAATTGAAAAACCCCAGTCCATAAACTCCACTCCGGACGAGTGAATTAAAACAATTGAAAGTGGTATTAGGAAATTTTTTAAATAGTGGCCAGAATGTTCCCAAGGAATAATTTCAAATGTCCCGAGGGGTCTTTGAAAAATAGAACAATTTGAAAACACACAAAGAAAAAAGGGGAGCTTACCATCGAGAATGTCGTAGACCTTGTCAGCAATATCGGCGAAGGTAGGCGCAGAATCGATGTCGCCTTTGCAGATTCCATTGCTGCGAACTGAGAGTTTGGAAGTGAGAGAAGGATCAGCGGGTCGGACCAGAGTAGAGTAACTCTCCAGCTCAACGAGCTTCCTGGGGCAAACTAGTATGGACCCGAACTCCACGATAGCGTGGCCCTGTCCGGGTCGGGTCGGTACAATTGTCTCCAAGTCGAAGAACACGATCTCCGACCTGTCCCCAGTCACTACCATTGCTGGGGGCTCCGAGTGGATAATGAAAAAATGATGGTGCAGGAGTGGCAGGACTTAAGTTTCCTCTTTGCAATATGGGTAGGGGTAAACGAATCGAATCGAATACCGAGAAATTTGAATTTGTATTTGTTTAATTTTTTCGAATACGATTCCGAATCCGAATATGAGACGAATTCAAAATAAGATTTGAATATGTATTTGATTAATATTCGAATAGTTATCGAATCATAAACGAATATTTGAATAATAATACTATGTACTCCCTCCGTCCCGGAGTATTCGTCCAGTTTTGACTTTTGGAATTGTTCATCTAAGCACTTTGACTCATCAAATTCTCTCAATGTGTAAGCCTAAATATAGTCATGTGCGTGTTTGATTTGTCTTAATATATAGATTATTAATATATAATTTATATAATTTTTAATATACAAATTACAAGATAAAATGGATTAAAGAAATGTATTGGATGGTGTGTAAAAATGAAAGTTGACAAATACTCTAAGACGGAGGTAGTAATTTATATGATGGACCAACATCGATTTGTAATTTAACTTTGGATACTTCTTATACTATACTATATTCCGTATCGAAAAACATTAATACATTTGCATCTTACACAAATTACTCCCTCCGTCTCCCTGTATTTGTCCACATTTGACTTTTGGAACTGTTCATCTAAGCACTTTGACTCATCAAATTTTCTCAATGTGTAAGCCTAAATATAGTCATGTGTGATCTTGTTTGATTTGTCTTAACATATAGATTATTAATATATAATTTTTATAATTTTTTAATATACAAATTACAAGATAAAATGGATTAAAGAAGTGGATTAGATGGTGTGTAAAAATGAAAGTGGACAAATACAGGGGGACGGGGGGAGTATATTTTATAAAATATAAATATTAAAAATCATATGCTTTAGGTTTTCGTGTTACGTTAATTTATTGAATTCTCAGTACTTAAAATACACTTTATACTATATTACCTGCTTGACTTTTGATGTTGAAAACATGATCTGTGTATATATACATATATTCGAATATTCGAATATCATCCGAATCGAATATATCCCTATTTTTAATTGTATTTGTTTAATATTCAAATCAAAAATAATATTTGAATTTGAATTTGTATTTGAATAATGTGAATTCGAATCATTATATTCGAATACGAATCGCGAATCGAATTTAAAATATTTGATTTGTTTACATTCCTAAATATGAGCAATGCTAGGGGTACACCAAAAGGTGTACCCCAAATGTACATCATCCTCTTCTCCACCACACATTTATATTTGATTTTTATTTATTTATTTTTTAAAATTTTTTTGCTTTTTTTAGTGGACAAGGAGGGGGTGGGGGACATATGGGTGTACCCCTAGCATTTTTCTTGCAATATTAGAAGATGTGGTTTTCGATTGTTTCTCTCCCTCCCAAAAAAATTATTTTCTTTTCAATTTTATTTGTCCTAAAATGAAACAGGAAATTACTTCGTATCCTCAATTTTTGGGTAATGACTCTCAAGGCTCACATTATCTGAAATATATTTTAAAATCTCCTTCATTTTCTGTTAAGAACTCTCAAGTCTCACATTATTCAAAATATACTTCGGAGTTCTTAAAATTTGTGATATTATACTTCGATGATACATTTCATTCATTTAGATGTTAGGATTGAAAGTTCCTTTACTGTGAATAAATGAAAAATTTTATTTAAATTTAATAACATATTGATTATGAAGGTAAAATTTGTATTTTTCAAAATACCAAAATTTTTAATTCTAACGGTCAAATAGACAAAATATACCCAAAGAATACATTATAACTAATTTTAAGGACTCACGTTATATATACTTCAAATAATGTGGGACCTGAGAGTTAGGTTCTTACAAGAAAATTGAAGGGACCTCGGAATATATTTCAAATAATGTGGCCGGGACATACGAGTCAATGCTAGAAAATCGAAGATATCCTGGAATAATTTTCTTTTAAATGAATTACATCATTCTATTTTTTAAATGTTTTTCATAGTAAAATGACTCTACGACCTTCTGCACTCCACTCTAATCCCACATTCCTTTAATATATTAGAGAATATGTAGGGATGTTTTTTTAATTGTTTATCCTTGGGCTTCCACCTACAGAGGCGGACTCACGTTGAGTCTCACGGGGTCCCGGGACCCCACGGACCTCCATGTAGGATTTTATATATATTAGGTACCCATATATATTAGTCTATATAAAAAAAAGCCTATGTGTAGAATTGCACAGAATGGTGAAGTGGAAGCGCGGCTGAGAATTTTGAAGGGAGGTCCAGTGTTCGATTCTGTCCTTCTTCTTTTTTATTATGAAACTCAATTTTATTCCTCAAGTATTCTAAAAGAACATTTTTAATGCAATATTTTTTATTGAAATTTTGAGGTAGTGTTTTTTTGTATTAAAATGCATTACTGCATTAGGCTTTCAATTTAAAGGCCCCGTTTGATACACAAAATTCAAACGATTAAATTAGAATTAGAGATAACAATTCCAATTCTATTGTTTGGCAGCACAAAAATATGTAGATTTGAAATTGATATTGCCAAAAATAAATTGAAATTGTATAATTTTTTCCATCCAAATCAATTCTATAGAACTTTAACTTTTAATTTCAATCCAATTCTGTCAATTATGTGTACCAAACGGACCCTAAATATTAAATAATTATTCAAACGGTTGGGTTCTAGTGACACCAGAGTACGGTGCCACTCCGGTGCCACTGGCATTTTGGGGCACCTCCGGTGCTCCGTTCGCAAAATTGACTGTTCCTACCCCCCCTAACCCACCCCCTAAACCCCCCACCCTACCCCCGCCCCTACACCCCACCCCCACCCCGCCTTAAGCCCCCCACAAAATGTGTGGCTATTAGGTGTCACTAGAACCCAACCGTTATTAAAATTCTTTCAATTTGACCACCAAACTATCCAAATACACGTGTTATTTAAATTTCTTTAGTTTAATTCTTTTATGAGTGGTTTCAAATTTTAGTAGAATTGGAAAATGAAATGAGAACCTCCAATCTACTAAAATCACCTCCATCCTCATACTTTAGTAATACACAAGAAATACAATATTGATCTCATTCCCTATTGTTAAATGAAAACCTAAAAAATGTACTTCAAAGTTTTAATTTATTTTTATTATAAAACATTAAAACTTCAAACTTGTACTCTTTCCGGTTATTCACAAAATTGTAGGTATAGAATATATTGAGGCATGTAAAGAGTTTACATGTATCTTTTTCCTAAACAAATCTAATCTTTATTTTATTTCTATTTTTTTTACAATTTACTTCCATTCTTAAAATGTGATAAAGAAAGATTATGTCAAGGAACCAATTCAACCAAATGCTCAAGCTTGTGGTTGTGGCCAGGAACAGTTATTTATATTCTAACACGCCCCCTCACGTGTAGGCGTAGTCTTTTTCGAGCCTTGCATGTGAAACTTTAATTTTTTTATAAACTGGGTGGAACCAACTCAACCAAAAGCTCAAGCTTGTGGTTGTGGCCCAGGAAATGTTTCTTATATTCTAACACGCCCCCTCACGTGCAGGCGTAGTTTTATTTCGAGCCTTGCACGTGAAACCTTAATTTTTTTAAAAAAATTGGGTGGCGCTGAGTTTCGAACCCGTGACCTCTTAGTCAACAAGACTCTGATACCATGTCAAGGAACCAATTCAACCAAAAGCTCAAGCTTGTGGTTGTGGCCAGGAACAGTTATTTATATTCTAACAGATTATGAATATGTCTAAATCTTTTGTTCTAAATTGAGGCTTTTGACAAAAAAAATCATTATATCAAATTAGTAAATTTTATCTTAAATAGTAGATTTTTTAGTTTATTTTTATAGTCTGTGAATAATTACACAGTATAAATATATGTTTACAATTTAAAAAACGGGACCCCATGGTTCCCGATTCCTGGATCCGCCTCTGCCACCTAAGATGTATCCAATCACTTTGTATATCTATCTCATGTCTTTATGAGAATTAATTAGCCTTTCATTTTCTATATAAAGTCAGAGCATGAAGAGATAAGTTGTGGATGTCATTTGTGATGTGATGGGAAGCATCGGAGTCAACAACCCAAGAAGGTGGAGCTAGTAAGGTCGGAGGAAAATACCATAATCTAGTGACCACTTACCTATGCTCTCACCCAATATTGGGGTCACTTGTGTATGCTCTAACCTAGTTTCATTCTTGGATGATACATATATATAGCACTTAATTTTCATTTTGTCTAAGAAAAAGTTCAGCATGGTATCTTGCGAGTTGCACATGTCTTCTCAGCAGATCAAGTCACAGATGCACTCACGAAGTTCCTTCCTCGATTGCTGTTTCATTCCTATCGAAACAAGATTGGCCTTACCTCTCGTAATCCATCTTGTGGGAGCCTATTAAAGAATGTGTTGAAGTGCTTTTTGTAATTATTTATTTTGTGGGCTTCCACCTAGGATGTATCAAATCACTTTGTATATCTACCTCATGTCTTTATGAGAATGAATGAGCCTTTCATTTTCTATACAATATTCTCACCCAAGTTTAGACCGTAGATACCTAACTTTATTTTATCTTTCTTCTTCAGAAAACTACTCTTGGGTACCCCATATTTTGAGAAACTAACTGCCGGGTACCTCACATTTTCAAAATATACTCCGAGGTACCTTCTATTTTGAGAAACTAACTATCGGGTACCTCACATTTTTTAAATATACTCCGAGGTACCCTCTATTTTGAGAAACTAACTATCGGGTACCTCACATTTTTAAAATATACTCCAGGATTCCTCCAAATATACATTAATTTTACGCCATTAATTTTAAGAAATAGGGGGTTGGAATTTTAAAAGTAACATTGGGTCTTATAATTTAAGGATACAATATATCCAGTTTAATCGAAGCTTTCGAATAAAATGAAATGTCTCCCACCGGTAAGTTAATATACATTTGGAGGTACCCCAGAGTATATTTTAAAAATGTGAGTTTTAATTTCTCAAAATTGAGGGTACCCAGAGTATATTT